GGCCAGAAGTGTCCCACTATATTCAAATTTATTTTATCACTCCTTCCATTAGATTTGTTTGTCTTAACTCTCAGTGAATTTGGAGCGTGTTGAGGGTTAATTGCCTTTGTACTTTGGGGTCTATCTTATGGACTTTACCAACATGAGCATGTCCTTCCACCATGTTGGAATCCTCATCCACCTCCAACGAATTGCCAAGAATAGACCCAAAAAAGAGAGTCGGCTCGTTGCAGTTTCCACAACCAGAACAGCACCTCGATCTTCAAAGGTTGCCCAAGGATTTCAAATCCATCTTGCAGCGAATGCTTTCTTGATCACAAAATCATCTTCGATACTCAGTCTAGTAATCCCTTGTCGGTATCCCGACCTGCAAAAGGATGAAATACAAGAGAAAGTTGAAGATATGTTACAACAGGGGATCATCTAAGACAGCCACTCCCCATTCTCTACCCCAATCTTACTGGTAAGAAGGCTGGCACGTCTTGGTACTTCTGTGTAGACTATCATCACAAAACAAAGCATAGAAAAATCATCATTACTGTACCAATGACTTTCACTCAGGTAAGACCAGATTAAGATCAGCCTAAAGATGCTGAAAAATCTGCTCTAAAACAAATCATGGGCACTAGAAGCTTCTGGCCATGCTTTTTGGCCTAACAAACGTACTCTCCACCTTCCATGCTGACGTAGGGTGGAGAACAATTACTCCACATATCGAAAACACCTCGATCATAAACCCACTATATTTAGCAATTCAAAACTTAATTATCTAAATTAAACCCTCTCTACTGAAATCACAATTAATATATTGAATGCTCTTCATTCTTTATCACATCACATGTCATAATGATTAGGTTTTCCAGCCATATATAAGCAATTTAGTGTTATTTGATAATATCATAAATTACACTAAAACATGCGATGAACACCTGGGGCCTCTAAGGTTCGCCCTTTCCCTACCGAACGCAATATCTTGTTCCTAAAGAAACCTAAAAGCCTCTTGGGAATAACAAACAAACCCGCAACTCGATAAATCAACCACTCTGTCCTGCCATGTTCCAGTCTTCTTTACAAAAATTAGGAACAGGGATGGGTCGGGTCTACTGCACAAGCATTGCCTCTGATCAAACTTGACAATCCCAAAAATACTCGTGTGGCCTGACCTATCTCTATTATAATATATATTTATTAGAAGAATAAAATGAGAGAGGCCAAGAGTAATAAAATGAGAATAAAATGAAAAAATGAAATGAGAGATGGCAACCCAGTTTAGGCCCACTCAGGTGTTTAAGAAACCCAAACAGTCCAAAAGGGTTTGACTTATTAAACCATCCTGAGTTTTGAAGCAGGTTAGAATTTAATTTTCAAATAGCTGATCAAGTTCTGATTTGGAAAAGCCTGCCTGAAACCGACTAGTCGCCATCCATGGGCCTCTTTAGCCAAACTCAAGTCTCGTTCTTAGGGCACACGATCTCTCGTGATGCATGGTTGCAAATACTTCCAAAACCTCTGCTATGTTACAATAAACTAAGCCCATGACCATCGTGTTTTGGCATTGGCTGGTGCTTCTGCAAAAGGATTAGCAACACATTTGCCACACACTCCCATAAGCTTGTGTCTTATGAAAAGGAGCTCATTGGACTCATCAAGCTATTCGACACAAGCAGCCATACCCATTGGCAAATTAATGGAATTCCATTTTGTGGTAGAATACCATGCTAGCAAATAGAATGTGGTAGTCAACTCCCTCTGGCAGACTTTGGTTTAGTGACAGCCCCAACTAGGCATATTTTACCCCATCCTTGTGGAGATCAATGCATCTCAAGGCAAAGCTATTAGACCAAGTCCAAGCAAGTGAGGTAGGTGAGCTCCAGTCACTTTAATGTGGCATATTTTCTACAGGAAAAAAGGTGTTCTTATCCCAACAATGCAATAGATTTTGAAAACAATTTCTATCCTCCATATCCAAGGACATGAAGGTACTAAATCCCTTAAAGTCACACTCTGATTATCTCTATTAAAAGAGTCAAAAATAAGAGCAACATTTTGTAAAGACTTGTTCTACTTATCAATGTAATATAAGGTCGACCAGTTGTAACCCCCAGGTATCCCCCAACCGCTACTTGTCCTTGAACATGATGTCTCCATATATTTTGTGGAAGTTCTTCCCCCTTCTTATGGCATGGATTGGTTTTCCATGTATGTGCACATCCTGCCCCTAACACATCCATAGCAACAGTCATAGTAGCTCAATTGTTTTTGTCTCCACATTCAAATTACATGGATTGTTCAAATCTACCAGTGCCAGAGATGTCATTTTCACAAATGCTTTTTAGAAAAGCTCTTCCACCCCCAGGAACT